AAAAAATTTAGCTGGACATGGTGGCTCATGCCTGTATCCCAGCATTCAGGAGGCAGAGGCAGGCAGATCTCTATGACTTCTGAGCTAGCTAGGGCTAGTGAGAACTTGTCTCAAATAAATAAATAAATAAATGAATAACAAACAAACAAACAAACAAATGGGCTGAGAAGCCCGAGGCTATCAATTGCCAATGAGTAGACCCAGCAGTCAGAAAACCCATCCTTTGACATCTACACCTATGTGTGCTAGGGAGGCTCTGGGGATTGAGAAGACAGTAAAACTGCCCAGTTTGCTAGAGATAAAAACACAACCAGACATACTACATGTGCCAGACCCCTGCCCTCCCAAAAGTAGATGAGCTATGGGAATGGGAAGAGGCAGAGGCTTACTGAAGAAAGAGGTACAAGATGGTTCCCAGAAAGCAGGGTTAATGAAGGAGCACAGAGATGCTGAGCAGGAGGATCCAGAAGCCCCAGGCAAGAGGACTGCAAAACATGGCCACATTCCTAACACTCAGGCAACAAAGAAACCAAGGTCCTCTTACCACTTCCTCATTCTATTGAGCCCTAGAAGGTAAACAGTCACAGGCTAGATTTGGAGAACTAACACTTAGGCCCATGTGAAAAACTGTCTTCTATCTCAGGAAAAGTGAACACATCAAGAAGCCATTTCTTGTCATTTATGGAAAACAAAACCCATGACTCAATTACAACTTTTCCTTATAAAAAATGAAAATGTGGGGCTGGAGAGATGGCTCAGTTGTTAAGAACACTGGTTGTTCTTGCAGAAGATCCAGGTTCGAATCCCAGAACCCACATGGCAGCTAACAACTGCCCATAACTCCAGTCCCAGGGGATCTGACAGCCTCTTCTGACCAATATGGGCATTGCACGACAGGGGTGCACTTACCTACATGCAGGCACTACACGCATACACATAAAATTTTAAAAATTTTAAAAATTTAAAAAAAGAAAATGCACAGACACTGGCGGCAATCACATTCACTGATTTATCCAACTGTACCACACACCAACTTCTTTCAAGTTGTCAAGATCTGTGAATTCCCCACTACATACAGTCACTTCTTTCAACTCTGTCCACTGCTCTCTCTTCATTCCCTGGGATAGCCGTGACTATTTCTAGGATTAACTGCTATTCCTTGTCTGCTTGTTGCCAGTTTCCACAAAACCACTCCAGCTTCCTCACCAGATGTCCAAGTCTGTTTGTGCTCATGACAAACATCTAAAAACCATTCTGAGAGAACAGTCAACTTCAGATAGAGGCCTTCACAGTATCTCCTATTCCTAGACATATGCATTAGCATATTTGTTCCTTCTACCAGAAATGGTCTTTCTTACCTGGAAAAGCAATTCTAATCATTCAGAATTGTGAGCTGAAGTTATCAAAACAAAGCTAGACCTGTGTGAAAGATTCTACAAGGCTAAGTGACTCATTGGAGCTTTCTGATTATGAAGAGCTAGAATATTGCAGATTCAGAGCCACATTATATTAGGCAGTCTTCATGGCCCACCTCTGTGTTTAACCTAACATTCTTTCAGCTACCAAGTAAAACCTTTAGAACTAAACAGACCATTTGTTTCTACCAACTTGACAGCAAAGAATGTCATCAGATACCACCTGAAAGTTCCTGGAAAAGTTACCCTGAATCTTCTGCAAGTCTGATTAACTGATCAGAAAGAACATCAATGATTATAGTTTGAAATGTTACAGTCAAATTATCTTGGGTCATCTTTGGCCCTCTTAATAGCCATTTATTGCTCTCCTCTGTATGTGCACTAACATCTTTGTTAGGTAAATCCTTTGGACTGTACAGACACCTACCTCCTACCAACCAAAAGGCTAAAAATGCATCAGATAGCACTTCGGGCCTGTAACAGTCATTTCTCTGCTTTCCTGTAACCTGCCTACCTAATGTTTCTACCAATGTATTTGAAAAGTGCCTTAATTTATTATTTTGTTCTGTTATCATAAACACTTCCTCAAACTGTTACCACATTGGAATATGGCATTTGGGGTAACTTAAATCTGTGCTCCCAAGCCATGGACACTCCTATTTGGCTCCAAAATAAATTATCTCTTAAGTCCTTTGAGGTAAGAGTTGTGTTTTTACATTGACAGTTGTAACCAACCTATTAGATATTTCCCACCAATGTATTTTTAAAATACCTTTACATCCCTAGTTCTAGACTGTTTCATTCATCCAAGGTTAGGAATCCTTCCCAATCTCTAATGGAAATGGGGTACCACCTTTCAGTGCTTTGATATGTTAATTCTCAAGCATATACTCATTCATTCATCCATTATCTTTTTTGGGTAGAGTACCAAATTGAGGTTGCCTAGGAAACAAGATCAGGCACCAAGGTCACAAGATATAAGAGCGCATGGTTTTGCTGGGGTCAATTAAAAGTCATTAGGTCAGATTATGTTCCCACAATAAGACATTCAAGAAATGTCAGCAGTCTAAAATCTAGATACAGATATATATATAGACATACACACACATAAAAACGAAAATTTACCATTCCTGCAGCTCATGCATATGAAGAAAACGGTTCCGATATTCCCTTGGCAGCTCAAATTGGGAAGGTATGGGAAACATGGATTCATAGAAGTCCCTGAGAACAGCCTTCACTGTCTGGGCATCTTTATGATTGTGGTCAATGTTGTCATTCAGACAAACAAATTTCCTGAAAAAAAAAAAAAGAGAGCTAGGGTCATTGGTCATATAAACACGGCCCTTATCTAACAAAGTAAAACATGTAGCTTCCAAAAATATTTCAAATGCACTAGCATCCCAGTCCAGTACATTTGCTAATATGGTCCTCAAGAGGAGTAGTCTTTTGTAAACTTCCTTAGAAATCCCTTACCTTAACAAGAGAACTAGGCCAGATAACTTTGAAAGATTCATGTAACTAGGGGAGTAAATAAATGACCTCCATTTAATGAATCCAGATTTAAGAGTTCAAAAAATGCGTCAATTGACTATAGTAAGTACCTAAAATCAAGTTTTCTGAACTGATAGTTACACTGTGGTTAGGTAGATAATTGAAATAGAGATAGTGTTTTAAAGGTATAGATCCTTTTTATTTCTTTTTATTTTATGAATTAGTGTATCTCCAACCGAGCTATGAGAGGTTAGTGCTCAGCAAAAAGCAGATTATGATGATGCATCCCTTGTTTAGAATTTTCTTTGAGGCAAAAGTCACTAAATCAAAGTCCCATTAAGATGGTGAGTTGTAATGATAACACTTTTAAAGACAGTCAAACAATTTAGCAAGGCCTTCAGATCCCACTACCAATTTATGGAAAACAGAATATAGGAATATCTTAAGAACTAATATAGATAGGTAGGGAGATAGATGGATGGATAGATAAGATAGATAGACAGACAAAAAGTAACTAAAAGAAATTAGCTAGGCACGGTGGCTCATAACTGTATCCAAGCAGCCAACACTCAGGAAGCAGAGGCAGATCTCTGCAAGCTCCAGACTAGCTAGGTCTAGTGAGAACCTGTCTCAAAAATATAAATTGTTTTTTAAAAAAATCAAAGTGCTAAGAATCCACAGGCTATCAAATAGCCAAAGTGCTGCCCCAGTAGTCAGAGAACCCACTCACTGACACCTGTGTACTAGGCCCTGGAGATTCAGAATCTAGGTGCCAGGCAATTGCTCTGGAGGTTCCTTTTTAGAAATCCTGACTGCTAATTGCCTATAACATCTCCCCCTCCCCTGGATGCCCCAGTTTCCTGTGAGTATCACTCAACAGCTGGTATCACCCAACTCATGGCAATCTGGGTTAAGCCCTCTGTAGGGAACTGACCTCAACTCAGGACTCCTACTTCTTTGGTCAAGCCCAGCTGAAACACTATCTCCGGCTACCACTGAGATCTGTCTCCTCCAAACTGAAATAAATCACTCCCTCTCTCTAGGCCTGCCTGTTCCCTTTTCGGTCATGTTAATCTGCAGAATTTAAAATAACACTTTTTATAATCAATCAGGAAAAAAACAGAAAAAATCAGTACCTGGGGTTTTTTCTTATATCATCCAATTGGCCAACCACATGAGAAACATTGGTACGAATCATTTTGAAAGCGATTTCTTCTTCTCCCATAATTTCAAACCTAAGTGTCAAACACATTTAAAGAGTTTACTAAATATGTGGATGTGAAAAACAAAATTTCAATAGAAAAAGCATTATTTAAAAAATTTGGTAGACTCAGCATGAACAGAAATGACTACATCTTTTAATATTACTAGAGAAATTCCACGTAAATTTTAGATGAAAGCATAATAGATAAGATGTTATGAAGTTATGGACATGCAGACCTTTGTGGTTACTCTTAAACTAAATGAAGATATATTTACTACTTACCTATACTTGTTCTTGTCTTTATATGCTTTGTGGATTTTGTCAGTTACTGGCTTACAGTTGGTGACAAGACTTTTAGTGACTGGAGGCTACGAGAAAACACAAATGCGTCAGATGTTCAATCAGGGGCAAGACAAGAGCAGGTAAGGCACCAGCCTTGGAGGCAGAATTTAAGCGAGTCACTGAAAGAGTAACCGGGTTACAGGGAAACAGTTCAGGAGGCCGCGGCAGAATTTAAGCGAGTCACTGAAAGAGTAACCGGGTTACAGGGAAACAGTTCAGGAGGCCAACACCCTTTCCCCTTAACCACACTCTGGGGGGTAACACATAAAGATAGGGGGCGACAAGTTGGGGCAGGGCGGGACTGGCATTCTACAGTACCCACTTTTCCTCTTGAGGAGGGAGTGTGCTCAGGTCCCTAGTAACTGATAGAAATTTAGTTACCTTGGCAAATTCACAAATGAAAATTAATTAATTTTTTTCTGAGACAGGGTCCCCTGGCTGGCCTGGAAGTCACTAGGCAGATCAAGCCAGCTTTAAACTTGTAGTGATTCTCTTGCCTCTCCATCCCACAGGGTAGGATTATAGGCACATGCTACTAAGCCTACTGCCAGCCTGAGTAGAGAGCAGCTCTACACCAGGCCTCCATTGAGCCCATGACCCACAACTCCTCTTCTACTTGCTGGTTCTCCTCTGTTCACCCCACTGAAGCCACTTCCCTTTAGGGCTGACATGGTCTGACTGCTCTACTTGCCTCAACTTCACTGACTTTGGAAATTTTAGAGTTTTAGAAACCAGGCTTTTAAGTAGCACATACCTGCAGGGTCTCTCGTGTCACATGCTAAGCTAACCTTTACATGACTGCCAGTACTTATACTTTGCCTGTGTGCTTCCACAGCTGCTGTGCTGGCCCCTGTCACCACGGCTGCCACCTGTCACACTGGGAGTCCTTGAAAGCCAGCCTTCCCTTCACTGAGTTCCAAGAACACAACTGAGAAACACAGTTCCTGACCCGCATAATAAATACTACATGAATGGTCCTTCAGGAATCACCCTTCTCTATAGTCATTTACAAGTTTCTGATCTGCATCAATGACAAATGTATTACTCTTGGCTTAAAAACTGCAGCTAGTAATTTAAAAATTAACATTTTATTCTAATCATGAAAGCAAAAGCTATTCACTATACAAAATATGAAAAACACAAGTGCAAGACAAAAAGATTAAAAACTACCTGTGACTTCATATGTCTTTTAAGGTATGTGTGTCATGTGTTTAAGAACGGGGTTGGAGGGTGTTTGGGAATTTTTGTTAATCCAGATCATACTGTATGCTATTAATTTGTCCCCCATCTGACTATAAGTATTTTTCCATATATCATGAAATACTGATTTTAAAACCATGTTAAAGAATATGCTATGTTCTTTTGTCAGTTCTGAGGTGGACATTTTTTTACATTTTAACTTCTCTAAAGTGGGGATGTCCATTATAATTAACAGTCTTCCAATGACTTTGGCCAAGTGGCATTCCAATGTAGTTGTGTGCAGGTCACCCACTACCTCTACTGGTAAGATCCAGGAAGTGCTTGCAGCATCCTACTTGATGATGTACTTACCGGAATGTTCTCTTTCACAAGAGTTCTGCGGTTACTTTCTGCCATCCTTGGTGACTAGGATGCCTGTTTATGGAATCTAAGTAACCAATATGAATATCAGCTTACATATTCATGGTGTGCGGAGAGGTTCTAAAGCAAGGATAAGTGGTTCTGTATTGTTTGTGCTACTACTCTGCCCTCTAGTTTTGATGTGCTACATGGAAATGGTGTAAATAACACAGGATAAGGATATAGAGAAAAGGCGCCAAGGCCACTTACCAGATTGGGATCATAGTATGCTTCCTGAGTTGCTGGAATATTGTTTAGCTGAGTGATATTAGCAGGAAGCAGTTTTGAACAGTTTATTAACATGTGTTCCAGACCTGTCAGATCCTAATAAAGCAAAAAATAAATCTGTTATATACATTATAGGTAATAACTGTGGCTTAAAAATAAACATTTTGTAAAATGTCTCCAAAAATGGCTTAAATGGTTAAATGGCTCATAAGCAATAAAATTCTTAAGTATAAAATAGATACTTTTCAAAAGAACAAGTTAGACAATGCAATCACAAATATTTTATCCTGATCTGAAACCAAATGGAAGGCCTGTGAGACACACATTTTCCCCAAGGCCGTCAGGGGTATCATAAAAAAGGATGCTCTGCAACTCAACTAGCATTTCCCTTAGAGTTTGTACTCCGAGGCTTGAAGGATGCCACAATGGAGGGCTTGGCTGAGATCTCCAGTCAGTCACACCTACAAGGCCCCAATGAATATGACACAAGAATCATAATGCAGGTATCTCTTCCCTGGCTCTACTCTGGATAATAGGAGATTAATTCCCATGCAAACCCACCAAATCTCATGAAAGACAAATTTAAAATATTGTTTTAATTCTGGCACTAAAGAATGGATGAGTTACTACCCCTCACATTAAATATTCAAAATGACTTAAACTTAAGGCTAAAACAATGCAATACCTGCAAGCTTAAAGGCAGATCATGAATTCTGGTAGCCAATGTTCGAATTTCTCTATCAGATAAGACACCAGATTGGTCTGTATCAACTTCATCAAAGACTTGGGAAATATTCAAGGGCTGGACTGCACTCATGAGATAATAAAAATAAGAGAAGGCAAACTGCATATCCTCAGAGTGGCGCACTTTGTGAAATGATGTCTTGTCAAATTCTTCAGGGAACCTGTCCAAATACAACATACAAAGCTCTGGAGAGTCGATGTATATAATTTGTTTGTGAAGACAGAAGTTATTTTTTTTCCTATTTACATGGCATCTTTGATGCATCAAATATGAAAGAGAAAGTGTGCGAATTCAAATAGGCAAGCAACCCAAGCAGAAGTAAGACTTACATATCTTGCAGTTCTTGCATAACAATCCGGTCAATCATGTGAGGCATGTGTGCAGGGACTTTCCTGGATGTGAATCCAAACTTGCTGTTTAGAATTTTATTTACATATCGGAGTGAATCTGCAAATGTATCTTTTAGTTGCCTCCCAGTATGTTTGCTGTCAGTAAAATAGGCCAATTGTGTCTTCAAAGAGTCTTCTTCCTGAAGGGAGAAGTCCATGTAACTCAACATTATGTTTGGTTCAAAGTATACTCTATTAACAAGAGATAAAGAATGTTATAGACTCTGTTAACAGCTAGTCACTTAACAGTCCATTAAGGTGAATGAAGCTCAGGCTATCAGGTCACTTTAAGGATCTTAAGAGAAAGATTAAGTGGATTCCAGTGCACTGACTTGCCAGTACTGGCGTGGGGACAACAGCAATGTGGCTACATATGGGGGGGGGGGTGCGACCCCAAGACTTCAAAGCCAATTCAATGCAACATTTAGAAAAATTAGTTCCACACAAATTTTTAGTGCTTTAAATGTGAAGATACTTTTGATGCTGGTGGCATCAAAGTAGCAAGTATCTGAATTTTGAATATAAGGCCTAAAAAAAACTATTGCATTCACTATATGATAGTGTTAATACAGAGACAAAACCAATAGAACAGAACTAAATGCTCAGAGAAAATTAGCTAAGAATTTGAATACAGTTTATAAAAGAAGAAATATTTTTGCTTTTCCAACTGATGAAAACGTGAAGAAATTGGCAACAGCCAGTTCCGGTTAGCTTACAATGTAGAGAGCATTCCTGTGCCCCATATGAGCATGACATGATACCATGTTTTAGGATGGAACACTTACAAGCATGGAACTAGTAATTCTACCAATGGAAACACAAACTTAATCAAGCATAAGATATAGGAAAGGATTGCTGAATGCTGTGGCTGCAAAATTCTGGAGACAAAATCCAGTTGTTAGGAAGAACAGTGGCACTCACTTTCGAAGGTTGTTTTCCCACAAAACGCTCAATCAGAGGCAGGCACGGGGAAGTGCATGTGTAGTGAAATATCACTGTTCCAGGACAGAAACTGCACAGTGTGTTTACAGACCTACAGAGAAATACCGGAGGGGCTGCCATCTAGCTGGTACAAGGAAAGAGACAGAAAGAAGACTCTCTCTTTTCATGACCAAGTTTTATACTGCTTGAAAATTTCACCACTAGTATGCTTTTATGACATTTTATTCATATTTTTATTTTATGTGTATGAATGTATTGCCTGCATGTGTGCAAGTGCACCCGTGTTGGGCAATGCTTGTGGAGGTCAGAAGACAGTGTTGGACCACCTGGAACTGGAGCTATGGATAGTTGTTAGCTGCCATATGGGTGTTGGGAATCAAATCTGGGTCCTCTGCAAGAGCAGTCGGTGCTCTTAACAGTTGAGCCATCTCTCCAGCCTCAACTTTTATGATTTTTTTTTAAAGGAAAGAAAATGTGGAAAAGTATGGAAACACAGACAAGAATTCTGCTATCTTTCATTTAATAATTAGTAAATATCTAATGGGCAACAGATGCGCCCCCCCCCCCGCGCCCAAAATGCTTAGAAGAGCAAGACAGGTGTCACTTCCTGCTGTCTTCTAGCCCAGCATGCACCTGGAGCTGTGCTTCTTTGCTATCCAGTCTTGACCACGCAACTTTTCTTGGTCTGTCAACTCCGACCCATCTGTGATGAGTTCACAGGGCTCTGTTCCTAGAAGTTGCCCCCAGTGCCTTAGGCAGATCTGAGGCTGTTGCCCTTTGGACTCTTCACCTGTGTCTCAGTCCACAACTACTTGCCCTTACTGGCCTCTCAGTCTCCCTAGGCAGTGACTGTATTCCCCAGTGTTCAGTGCTGTGATGCCACTTGGGAGACAAATGACACATATGACACGGAAGACGAGAGCTCTCACTTTGAGGTGTGGCTCACACTGACTGGCTGTGCTGATGATGGAAATATCAGTGAATTGATCTCAGGTGTTTTCATGACTACAGCTGAACATCAGACCTGACGGGCTGGGTCGAGACAAGATGCCCTGCTCTCCCACTTCAGTGGGCTATACCCTAGCCAAACCCCTTAGTCACATAAGGACTGTTTCCTAAACTCGAAAATGGGGCTTATGTGGCCCTTGTATTTTTACGATTCTTGGTGAAATCAAATGAAATCATGCAAGAAAAGCACTTACTTTGCTGGTGGACACCAAGAAGGGCTGAATAAATGGTGGTTATTATTATAGTCACTTATAAAATTATTTACTTTCCTGAACATGACAAAGATTAAGGCTGGATCTAACTTACATCAAGAAGGTCTTGGAAATACTTTGTTTTCTCCCAAGGCAAAAAGCCCAGGTATGTTCCCATGTGGTGCTGTAGCCTTCTTCCGGGTACTACTTCCTTCACAGCAATGTGGCCTTCCGTATTTCCCTCTGCTCTCTTTCTCTGCTCTTCTTTCCCTGTGAGCTTTCCTTTTATCACGTGGCCTTCCAAGGGAACAGTCGGAGAGAAGAGCTTCTCTTTGGGCACACTCGTGCCGAAGACATGGCGGGTCTGAGTTTCCAACTTAACCCTTGCTTTGGTCTCCAAGACCAGGGGTGGACTCAAATCCTGGTAATGGCCAATTACTGTTCCTGCCAGGAAAGTTGGCCTCTGTAATCTTTGACCAGCAACAAAGAGGTCTGGGCTTTCGTGAATGAGTTTTTCTGGTGGAGCCTCCAAATTGTCATTTGTTTCATCTGTCCTTACACCTTGACTTTTTACTTTAGTATCCAGTGAGTTCCTCAGAAAAGACCTCAGCAAGGCTGACTTGGATAAATTGTATCCTTTCAAAGTGATGTCCCCCTGTTCCAGCTGCAAATCCAAGTTCCTCAGTCTCAACTGAGCCTCTTTTGGAAGGAGTGAAATATTTACTAGGGGGATTTTTGCCTCCTCTTGGAACCTCCCTGTTGTGTTGACATCATGTCTCTTGACTTTGGGGAAGCGTTTTTCTTTGGGAACATCTTCAAAAAGGATTTCTGCCTGTGGAAGAGCTGTTACTGGGCTAATCAAGCTTTCATCAGCCTTCTGGGTTGTGGAATTCAGTTTTGGCACCTCCCGTGTGTCCACCTCTACTGTTATCTGGATTTTGAATTCTTCATCATTTGTGCTTTGAAATGTGAGGTTAAAATGGATTATGGTTGCGTTCATTCCACTGTTCATTATGAGGTGGATGGTTTTCCACTTATTTGCAATAGAAGCATGTCGAATTATTGGATTGTCACTGTAGGCACCTTCAATTCCTTTTTTGGCTATTTTTGCAAAGCTGAAATAAGGCAGGGATTCACCTTTTGGGATAACATAATGAGTCTGGTTTGGGAGAAGAGTTACTTTATACAATTCATGAAAATGATCTATAGGAAAAAACACAAGCATGAGTTCTTTTTAAGTAGGCATTTTTACTTCCTTTTACTTAATTCTTTGGATTTGAGTTCTTATTTTCTAGAGGTGACATCAAATTGATTTTAAAATGGCCAGAAATTCTAATACAACAGGTTTGGGCATATGGTCTTTTTACTATCTGAGGCAATTGCAAGATTTACATGGAATGCTAACCCTGATTTGTTAAGGAGGTATGTTGTGAATTTTATTAATACACTTCAATGACCAATTTTCAATTCTTTTTGTACATCTGAGAAAAAATATTTTCTGCTAAATGATCTCCATTAACAAGCTATCAACACAATCCCGTATTCAAAGACCTATACTTAATGAACTGTTGATCTCCTTTTTTATTTCCAAATCAAAACTTCACAGCCTCCTTTCAGCTAAGGTAAACCTGCTTAGTACTAAGAAACCAGATAGGAGCAACAAGAAAAGGGACATTTTGAGAATCTACTATTTTCTGTGGATCTGTGTTCTTCTCTTAGTTTTAAATTATAACTAGTACATGAGGCTTGGAAAAAGATGCACTGAGAAAAATTATTTTAAATGATGCAAACTGTCAAGTGCCCCTCTACTCCAAGGACTTGTCTATTTCTAATGCAATGAATATACCTTGTCCGCAGTCACCAGCATCAAACCCACAGGACAAAACGTTGCAAGCTTGGTCACAGAACTTATCAGCGAGCCAGGAATTTGCACATCCTTGGTTACAGTAAGAGACACTGTTGATTCCTCCACCAAACTGCCAGGGCTGTCCCACTCCAAGATTCCCGGCGCCCCCACCTCCTGCAATGTAGCGGCTCCCTCCATTATTCCCTGTAGAGCAGGGAGGAAGAAGGTAGAATCTTGTTGAGCTGACAACTTTCAAAGAAGTCAGTTTTCATTTCTCACCATGTTTGCAAAACTGATGCATGAATTGCAGCCAGAAAGGTTCATCTCAGTTTTTAAAAAATTTATTTTTTTGTGTATGAGTGTATGTACTGGATATATGTAAGTGTACTCGTGTCATGCAATGCCCACAGAGGCCAGAAGAAAGTGTAGGATTTCCCTGGAATTGGAGTTATGGACGGTTGTTAGCCACCATGTGGGTGCTATAAAGCCCAAGTCCTGTGCAGGAGCAGCCAGTGCTCTCTCCAAACCCCATCTCATTCTGTAATAGAAGATGCCATGTGTCTTAAGGATAACCTGAAAAGGGAGCATCACTTGGCAGTAGTACAGGACTCAAACTTGTGTGGTGGTGGTGGTGGTGGTTAAGGCAGTAACTAGGGAAGAGGAAGAGACGATCCAAGGACCATGACTGTCAGAGCCGCCAAAACCATGTCCATGTATCAACATTATCAAATGTTAATGTTTTACGAGGTCTACTTTGTATACCTGTGTTCTCTCCTTGAAGTCACTTATACTTTACAAAAGTGCACCTGACTTTTATGATAAAACACAGCTTAATGTTTTGTTTCTTCTAATATTCAACACATTTTCAAACCTGTTTGCTCATCTTGAACACAAGGATGATAATATCTGTGTGCACACTTTCTTAGAGCACCAAAAAATTCAAGTGGGTAATGGATGATATTTTATAATTTAGTGCCTTATGAATTGAAAGACAGTAAGTAAGTATTAAAAAAACAAAACAAACAAAACAAAAACATCAAGTCTGAAGGTGAGTATGTGAGACAAGAAGAAGTTGCTAAGGAGCAACTTACAGCAATTTCCTGCTGAGAGTTACTGCCATGAATTCCTACAGAACCAGCAAGAATGACTCTTGGGTTCACATAATTAAGAGTATTCTAGCTATCTGAAGTAATAAGAAATGACATTTTCAAGTGCAGAGCCAACGTCAGAAAGAAACCCCCAACAATGGATGATGTGGATCAACGAGCCACATGGGAACACTGACCCGGGAGCTCTGGATTCCTGACTGTGTCAGTGTGCAGGAGGCAGGCAAGCTGTGAGTTTGAAGCCAGCCTGGTCTACACGGCAAGCTGCAGGCCAGCCAGAGCTACATAGTAAGACCCTGTCTCAAACAGAAAACAAAAGAATACACACACAAAACTTCAACAGCATGTGTTCTATTATGATTAAGAATGAAAATTAATAAAGTACATTTAATACACCCCTACCAGAGCAATCACCACCATCCCAATCACAGGCTGAATTATTACAGGCCTTGTCACAATAGCCATCTTTAATCCAGGAACCAGGGCATCCCTCAGCACAATTTGGCACAGGCCACGTCAAATAAACCTATGATAAAATCAAAGAAAGAACACAATGATTTCTGATACTTCTTTTCCTAGAATTCAAATTTCTTGAATCAGAAAAAAAAACTGAACTTCTAGGAAGGTAAAGCTCTCCAAAGGCTGGCTGCATACATCGTGACTGCTTTAGGCTGGCCTATGCCCACGGTCCAGTTTGGAGCCCTGCTTTCTGACTATGCTGAGCTTTCTGATACTTCTTTTCCTAGAATTCAAATTTCTTGAATCAGAAAAAAAAAAAGAACTTCTAGGAAGGTAAAGCTCTCCAAAGGCTGGCTGCATACATCATGACTGCTTTAGGCTGGCCTATGCCCACAGTCCAGTTTGGAGCCCTGCTTTCTGACTATGCTGAGAATGTCACTCTTCCCCATTGCTTCAGTGGACAAGGACTCAACTCATGGATTAGAGTCTCACACCATAATCTACTTGTAATCTCTACTTACAATGTACTTTGAAATAAAATCATAGTGTGTTAGACTTACATATGAGTATAAATATGTGTCAAAATAGGTAGGAAGTAAGCCACAAGTCACTCTTTAACTATGACAACTCTGAATATATTTACGCATAATCAGCCTTAAGGCTGAGAAAAGGAACAGGTGAACACTGCACTCAGAAAGTTT